AAACAAAAAGAAGAGAAAAAGAAGCACAACTGAAATATTAGGATCAGATTTTTTAACCCATATAAGCAATAAAATTAAATTTTGTACAGAAAAGGCATCTCACAGAATTGTTCACCAAAAAATATTTCCAAAAATTCAAATATTTTCATCACGGAAGTTCAAATAAGAAAATCACAAATCAAAAAATGAAAACTATCCCATTTAGACCCTTAATTTATGTATTTATATCATTTTCACGACAACTAGCAAATGGTTAACAAAACTTTACTCTCTATTAATACAAAACCTATTAGAACCATGAGTCCAAGAAAGGAAAAGGAAAACAAAAACTAAAGCGATGGCAAGCATTGTAAATTATAGATTCATAATTTAGGATTGATGAATCTATAGCATGTGACAAATATATAGAAACAAAAGAAACAAAGATAAGTTCATGCCCTAACGACTACAAATTTTTAAGACATTGCTTGGTTACTACAAAAGTGGGTTAAAACCCAATACAAATAAAGCCCTAGACTTGTACAAAACAAAAATAAACGTCCAGCTCCACTGCCCTCCCAACCTATCCCCTTGTTGGCAGAGGCATACTATCAGCTCCTGAAAGTTGCTTTCACATAGGGTGACCTAATGCCTAGTAGATATAAATTTAATGATCTGTGTGATGCTCAACAAAGTCATATGATGAATACATATGAAATGCTATCATAAAAATGCGCTTTCCCTTTTTCAAAACAATACAATGCCAAGTTTATATCACAGTTTATAAATCATTGTTTCCAAAACAGAAAACATGGTGGTAAATACACACTGGGAATTTCTAGATACGTGTCTACAAGTAGACTATAAAAGTACTACCAAAGCCACTTTACCGGCAACTAACCCGAAGGATGGCATCCTAACCACGCGGATTTCTAAACTTTCACCAATGACGCAAAGGCCAACTTAATTAACCACAACCATACCCCCGAATCAGATTCACCAAGATATTCACTCATTTTTCTCAAAACGATACTTTTCAATGCATAAGTATAAAACATATGTTCAATTTGAATGCACGAGTGAATGGGTTTTCGTTAACCTAGTTCATATGCAATTTCTACAACAATCAATGCTATCTTCCATTGATAGCCAAGACAGATATCTCAATTCAAAAGATAAATTCCAAGTGATAGATATAAATTCCAAAATTTAAATATATGAGTAACAATCACATGTTCAATCTCCTTTTCCAACTCAAACAAGAATAATAACATTCTTCTAAGATTTCATCCATTTCCTTCATTGTTTAAGCTAATAATCTCCAAAAGTTTCCATAATTTCAAAACATCTGTTTCTTTCAAAAAGCCTCATTTAAAAGCAATTTTCATAGTTTCCAATACTTTTTATCAACAAAATCATTCCTACAACATTTCAAAGGAAACCATCCCAAAATAAATCAATTTAAACCCAAATCAAACCCAAATCCCTCAAAGTGATAAACTATTCAAAGAGCATATAACGACGCTAAATATCATGTAAAATATTAAAGAAATCCCTACCTCAAACTGGAAGAGAGGAAGAAGGAAAAAACATTCCCAAACTAATGGAGATGAAACTCGAACTTTTTCAAATAAAAATGTTCCTCTCCTCAAGCTCTACCTATAATCCCAAAACACTAGGGTGGCAAGATTTAGGGATTAAGAGAGATTGAAAGATTTAGGCAAGAATTTCAGAGAGAGATGAGAGAAATTGGGTTTAGAAACTTTATAGAGAGTGAGAGAGAGAGAGAGAGAGAAACAGATCTGTTTCTCGCAACTTTATGCAAACAGATTGCTCGAGTATCAGATACAACACATCAATCAAGCGATCAAAACAAGGCTCGAGCGAAGAAATCAAACTCCCAGAAGATTAACCCTGTAGAACAAAACACCACTCAAGCGTAGAATACAAACTCTTAGTAATTCAGACTGCAACCAGAGAAAACCCTACTCTCAAAAGAGTAGACTGCAAACCCTGAATTTGAGAAAAACGAAAGACCACTTGAGTGACTAATCCACCGTTCGAGCGAACCTAAAATAAAACAGGAAAACCTCCCTAGAAACACTAAACCTAACCTCTTTCAAAACACAACCTAAAGATCCAATTCACAACCCAAAGATTACATATAACTAGAACAGATGCCAACAACACCAATAGACACAAAATTCATAACCAAAGAGTATAAAAGGATAGAGTCTTAACTCGAGCTGCTATAGGCACCATATAGTGAGACTGCTGTTAATTTTCTTTTGTGCTTTTTGTTTTTCTAAATAGAAATCACAGGAGATTGACAACGTTGCAAAAGAATATTTATCTACAACTAAATGCAACTTTTGCCCATGCTTTTTCACTCCGGTGAGGAGTATCTTGTGCAAAAAGACTATACCATCAAATTTATGCTTTTAGAACAAACTTATTAACACAAAAGGAGGGGTTTATAATTCACCCAAGCCATGTAAAGTTGGTAGGGTTCATAGTCAAACTGTGTTCCAAATCAAATTCTAAGAAGTTTGAACTCAAATTCAAATTGCAAAAGGCGGCTTTACCAATCTCAGTTGATATTGGCAATAGTTTCAGAAAGTTAAGCGAAGCTAAAAGTTTTTTGAAACAAGAACAAATCTTGGTATATATGCATGTACTTGTAACCAGAATGAATTACATTAGACCTAAGCCTAACTAGATAATAATTAAGTACATAATTAAGATCCTAGTCGTCCCTCATTCTATTATATTTAAACTAAATCAAAGCACTATTCATTTGAATTGGAACCAAGGGCAAAATAGTCTTTTTACCATTTTTTTCCCCTATAAAAATACCACTCATCTCCACTTGTTGAACACACATACACACATACACACTCACACTACTCCCATGGTTGAGAGAAAGAAAAAAGAGACAGTTTGGTGGTGGTAGAGAGGAAAAATTATGCAAACATCCTAGATAACAAGTAAGCCACATTACCACAATATCTTTTATTTTCCTCTTTCAAATACACGTTTTTAGAGGTTTTAAACATTACCTTCAAATGTGTTCTAAAGGTGTTCTTGGGTTAAAAATGAAAAGAGTTGAGATTTGTTCCACCCTTGTGTTTTCTCTTAATAGGGTACAAAACTATCTTTTTTTACACCTATCTCACATAATTTCCATAGGCACACCTTCAATCCAAAATTCTGAGTTAAATACATATTATTTTGCATATTTTCATCATAATAGAAGTGAAAAATTATCCATGGTTACCCTCTTTTCTTACTTTTTTTTCTTCTTATTTCAAGCTTTGTGCTCAAAGAACCAGTATTTGCAGCCCACTTGCAAAAATTCAAAGAAAAATGCAAGAAAATCTCCTTAATCTCATTTTTTTGTCAAAACCTTCCTTTTAGTGTTAGCTTTCATGAAAAAAAAAAAAGTTTTATCGAAAAAGAGTGAGCAGTTTGAGAGAAAACCTGATTTTCGTAACAGTTGACGAATCTAGACAGCGCTGGAGTATTTCGTAAATAACTAAAAATCTAAGAAAGCTATGCCAACAGTTTCATATTTCCCAGGCATATAGGTGACCTGCTGCTTGTACTGCTGCAGCATCACTTCACTTGACAGCATGTCAGGTGAAGTCACATGATCACAGATTGCACAACAAATTTTGGAAGGGCAAAACTATCATTTTACTCATGTTCACTTTATTTATATTATTTCCTTTCACATGTTTTTTACATTTTTTTTTTAAAAAGTCCAAAAATTCTTTCCAAACATACTAGGGGTCACCCCCACGACCCCCATTGGCCGGTGATTGGCCAATTTTTTTTTTTTCTTCTCCTCCAATCACCAACCCCCACGTGTGTGTAGGGGTGGTGGGGGTGGGGAGGAGAGGGGGTCTCAATCACTATAAGAGTAAAAATCACATGTTCAATCTCCTCTTTTTCAACTCAAACAAGAATAATAACATTCTTTTAAAATTTCATCCATTTCCTTCATTGTTTAATTTAATAATCTCTAAAAGTTTCCATAATTTCAAACATCTGTTTCTTTCAAAAAGCCTCATTTAAAAGCAATTTTCGTCGTTTCAATACTTTTCATCAACAAAATCATTCCAACAACATTTCAAAGGAAACCATCCCAAAACCCCTCTTTTATAAATTAATTTAAACCCAAATCAAATCCAAATCCCTCAAAGTGTTACACTATTCAAGGAGCATATAATGAAGCTAAATATCATATAAAACATTAAAGAAATCCCAACCTCAAACCAGAAAAGAGGAAGAAGCAAAGAACAATCCCAAACTGACGAAGAGAAACTCAAATTTTTTCAGATTAAAACGTTCCTCCCCTCAAGCTCTGCCTTTAATCCCAATTCACGGAAGATTTAGGCAAGAATTTTAGAGAGATGAGAGAAATTGGGTTTAGAAACTTCACACACACAGAGAGAGAGAGAGAGAGAGAGAGAGAGAAGTCAAAAAAGGATCTTTTTCCACAGCTTTATACAAACAGACCGCTCGAGCATCAGACACACCACATCGCTCGAGCGACCAAAACTAGGCTCGAGCGAAGAAACCAAACTCCCAGAAGGTTAACCTTGCAAAATAGACCGCTCAAGTGCAGAATACAAGCTCTTAGTAATTCAGACTGCAAAATGATTGCTCGGGTGACCAAAACATTGCTCGAGCGAAGAATACCCTGCTCCTAAAAGTTCTGACTGCAAATCCTGAATCTGGGAGAAACGAAAGACTGCTTGAGGGACCAACCCACTGCTCAAGCGAACCCAAGATAAAACAGGCAAAACCTCCCCAGAAATACTAAACCCAACCTGTTTCAAAACACAACCTAAAGATTCAATTCACAACCCAGAGATTACATATAACTAGAACAGATGCCAACAACACCAATAGACACAAAATTTCGAACCAAATAATATAAAAGGATCGAGTCTTAACCCGAGCCACTATAGGATCCATATAATGAGAATGCTGTTAATTTTCTTCTGTGTTTTTTGTTTTTCTAAATAGAAATCATAGGAAATTGACAACATTGTCAAAAGAATATTTATCTACAACCAAATGCAACTTTAACCCATGCTTTTTCACTCCGGTGAGTAGTATACTGTGCAAAAAGACTATACCCTCAAATTTATGCTTTTGGAACAAACTTATTGACACAAAAGGAGGGGTTTATAATTCATCTAAGCCATGTAAAGTTGGTAGGGTTCATAGTCAAACTGGGTTCCAAATCAAATTCTAAGAAGTTTGAACTCAAACTAAAATTGCAAAAGACAGCTTTATCAATTGATATTGATATTGGCAATAATTTGAGAAAGTTAAGTTAAGCTAAAAGTTTTTTGAAACAAGAACAAATCTTGGTATATATGCATGTACTTGTAATTAGAAGGAATTAAATTAGACCTAAGCCTAACTAGATCATAATTAAGATCCTAATCATCCCTTATTCCATTATATTCAAACTAAATCAAAGCACTATTCAATTGAATTAGAACCAAGGGCAAAATAGTCTTTTTACCATTTTTTTCCCCTATAAATATACAGTCACCCCCACTTGTTGAACACACATACACGCTCACACACTAATCCCACGGCTGAGAGAAAGAAAAAAAGACAGTTTGGTGGTGGAGGAGAGGAGAAATTGTGCAAACATCCAATCTAGATAACAAGCCAGCCACATTACCACCGTACCTTTTATTTAGCTCTTTCAAATACATCTTCTTAGAGGTTTTAAACATTATTTTCAGATGTGTTCTAATGGTGTTCTTTCGTTAAAAATGAAAAGAGTTGAGCATTGTTCCACCCTTACTTGTGCTTTCTCTGGTACAAAGCTATATTTTTCTACACCTATCTCACATAATTTCAATAGGCACACCTTCAATCCAAAATTTTGAGTTAAATACATATTATTTAGCACGTTTTCATCATAATAGAAATGAAAAATTATCCATAGTTACCCTCTTTTCTTACTTTTTTTCGTATTTCAAGCTTTGTGCTTAAAGAACTGGTATTTGCAGCCCACTTGCAAAAGTTCTAGAAAAATACAAGAAAATCTCCTTAACCTCATTTTTATGTCATAACCTTCCTCTAAGTGTTAGCTTTCATGAAAAAAAAAAATTATCGAAAAAGAGTGAGCGGTTTGAGGGAAAACCCGATTTTCGTAACAGTTGACGAATCTAGACAGCATTGAAGTATTTCTTAAATAACTAAAAATCTAGGAAAGCTATGCCACTTCTGAAAAATATTCTAAAAAGTAGATAAAATTTTCTACAAACTACGGAAAGGCGAGGTTTAGGAAAAATTTAAAAATGTCTCTTTAATTGCAATATTTAAAGTGCACCAAATTTGAAAATTTACTTTTGCTGATGAATTTATGTTCTTAACTTCATGCATGTGCTTATTATCACTTGTTCATGTCTTGATATGATATTTGCATGTGTTATAATTACGTTCCTTACAATAGTCCCTTGGTGATACACATGCTTATATAGAAATTATTATCTTAATAAATTTGTTCTAACTTTAATTTAAAGCATCTAACTCAACGGGAAACTTAATTGGGATGGTAACTGCGTTTCGATCAATTGAATAATGTTATGAGATAATGTTGTATTTGAATTGAATTGGTTGGCGAGACGTGTTCCCTATTTGAAGTAAAGTCTTGCGCAAGTGGTATTTCAAAACCATTGAATGAATTGGTTATATTCGGACCCTAGGAGCTTGGTGTAAGGAAGGAATGGGCAAGGCCCTTTTACCGTCTCTTTTGAAGTCCTTAGTTGGCGCTACACGGTATGTAACAATTGTAGGCATCCAGGGTAAAGTCTACAAAGCAACAAAAGAGGAGACCTACCAAATAAACCAAGTTCGATTCTTGTGGTTGGGAGGATGAAATCTCTTTGAAGGATTTCTAAATGTAGGCACCTAACCTTGTAACTCTCTAATTGTTTACTTGTTCATCATGTTTAAAATATTTAGTTGTATACTTGTAAGCGTATTGGATTGGGAAAAAAGGAAGGGATGTGTATGCATTTACTGGGCATTCCAAACTCATGGCATTTCATGCAGGTGTCGAAAGGGGCTGACGAGGAGCCGAAGGCATTTGAAGATTTCTGGCTATCTTAAACGAAGTTAGAAGCCATTTTGTTACAAGTCCATCCGTGCTTTTATTTTCTTTTTGGGATTGTCATCATGATGGAACTTGTTTTGTAATTAAAATTTGTAACTCTGCAATTATGATTTGCTTATATACATAAATCTTTTTGTAATCCTATACCTATATCCGCATTACATATGAGATCTTGTGTGAATATCACTTCTTAAGATTTGTCAAAAAAATAACTTACTATCTAAAGTGGTGGACTTAAAATGAAAGCTATATTGACTCCTATGACCTTCCGGAGATCTTACTTGGTTATTGACCAAAGAACTCTTTAGTGGCGTTGCCTTGACCTCAAACCTTAGATTTGAGGCGCCACGACTTAGTATCAGAGCTTAAGTTTAACCCTTAACCTGTGTAACTTGATTTGGCACTCTAGTTACCTTTTTCCTTATACACTAATGCATTACTGTAACACTTTTATTTAATATTAACAAGAGACTAATAAGAGATTTCCTTTAACGTAGGATGGCCAATAACCCGCCAAACGTCTTGTACCACGACCTCGGGGGTTATTACCGCTTTCAAGGGAAACAACGCATTGAACTTCTTGACCAGCAAGTTTATGACCTCGGGTGTAAGAGCGGGAAAGGAAAGGTTAATCGAAGAGGTAAAAAAGTTGGAGGAAGTGCATCCCTATCTCACCCCGATCAAAAGAGGGCCATGATCCGACGCCAACTCAAGAGTCAGTATCGGGCCCCCAGCATGCACTTGAGCCTGAGAAAGACGACCAAATATTTATAGAAATAACTTTCGAGGCACTATAGAACGGGCTACGATTTTGGCACATTCCACAAGCTGAGAGCTGGGACTTTTATTATCCGAAGGTAGCACTTGAACTAGGGTTCCGCCCAACTAGATTAATTGAGCTTCCCTTTTGATCATGCCCCCGAGTATCAAGAGTAGGAGATGCGCAGGGGTCACCATGCTTCACGTCGGGGCAACAACAGTGTTATTAAAGGCGCGCCTAGGCATGCGCCTAGGCCCAAGTCCCGCCCAGGCCAAGGTTTATGCCTTGTAGCGTTCCAGGCCAGACAACTGTGATAAGGTGCCTAATTGGCCCAAGGCTTGCTTTAATTGGTTTTGTTTAAAATCGAACCATTGATTTAATATGGTGCAACTACATAAGATCCCTACTCTTATTACAGATGCCAATACATTAAGTATTCAACCCCTAATCAATTATAGAAGAAAAATTAGCCCTAATTCATAATCTTCAAAAAACACTAAATGTATAACATTTCATTTTATTTATGTTGAACCCTAAATTATTTACTTATATTAAATTATATTTTTTTTTTCCCGTACAAAGTGCGCCTCACTTCGGTGAAGCCTGTGCCTCGCCTTGAGCCTATGCCCCAGGAGACCTTGGCGCCTTTGGTGCGCCTATTGCCTTTAATAACACTGGGCAAGCAATTACCTCATCTCAGGAAAACGACCCAAAAGAGGGCCTCGACTAGTCCAAAAACCACCAGGCTTAGATTTGTAATCAGGAACCCCTAGTGATGTGTTGTAAACTTATGTGCCAATATATGTGTAGTACTTTCTAAACTCCAAGAAAAAATGGATTCTACTATCCTGCCTATTCCCTCTTAACTGTCCCAATTCTTCCAAAATCTAGGTTCCAAAATGATTAGGGATTTCAATTCTTGCAGACATTGGCCCATCCTCTATGTAATGGTTCCTAGGTACAGCATTTCTGCGTTGCTGTTCACAGCCCTGGTTGTTATTGCTCATTTTTTGGTAGCCCTGGGTAGCCGTTGGCACGAATATCCACCATTCTGTTCATAATTTGGTGAGGTGTAAATTGTGTTCTACTTACAGAGGCGATTCCTCAAGAGTAATTTAATTAATCTTGAAGTTAAAGTTCAATTATCCTAGGGTGTTTGAAACAATAAAGCATGCAATAGACGATGGATACACGAAATCACATACCAAACCCGTGGGTAGAGAAGAATTGGCTCCGCTAGATCGAGAAAATGTTGGATACAATGGGAATTACCGAACATGCCGACTGAATTGCCCTAGCTGTATATGAATTGGATGATGAAGATGATCACTGATGAAAAGTACTTGCGACATTTCAACCTTGACTTGGGAGCAATTCAAGGAACCATTCCTGAATAAGTATTTCCCAAACACCATCAAGTAGGAACTTTGGAGTTTCAGAGACTGGGGGTGACATATTGTGAGACAATAACTTCAAATTATAAGAGAGTTTTACCGGGTAATGTATAATCTCATTTTTTCTTCCAATTGTATTCTGGTATGTTTCTTTTTTATATTTATGTATTTATTATGATTATGATTTTATTTTATTTATTTTATTTTAAAAAGATGCAAAAAGTTTAACCATTAGATATCGTCTCGCGGGAAGAGTTGACTACCGGACATTCCATGATTTAACAACTTGGTCTAACTTGACAAACGGAAATCAATTTCCAGTGACTATACGATTTTATAAAATGCAAGCAGAAGCTGAGATAGTTCAGAAAATTCTCCAATCAATGCACAATCCTAATATAGCCAATATTTTGGACTTGGATGTAGACTATCAAAATGGCTATATTGCCATAATATTTGAAAGATTCAACGATTGGTTGAACATGCAATTGAATATTTAGTAGTATAATTCTAATGGCACAATAGTCATTTCCATGACTAAAGAATTCCTTACCCATTTAAGTAAAACAATGTTTATTAAATTTTACAATTTGTTATAAATTTAAACAAGACTGGTTGTTTCTTTCATTAATTTCTTTTTTTGTTTTATTTTATTTAAAAAAATTGACTTTTTTGCTTGATTTTTCATGTGGTTTATGTACGTATTTATATAATTTCAGGGATCACAAATGGCATTTGAGCTCTTCATTACTAAGGACTATACCATGACAACTTAATAAACGGTGTTATAGTGTCAGAAACCAGTACCATTAAACTAGCAAACTTTAACTATAAGCAAGATATAGGTATACTAAACTTATAAAATATATTTTGAACTAGTATCCTATATATTTACTCCATTTTCTAGATTTGCTGCTTAAATATATATGTATTATGCATGCTATAGTTGATTTCGAATACGGAATGAAGAAAGATCTTGATGATCTCAAGTTTTTGGTATTGCAAGTTGTAAAATAATATCTCACTAAAGATGGTAGTGAGGATGAACCTGTTGCTTTATCTCTCTTTTTTCATCTTGAAAATGAATTCCCTGGTCTAAGTATAAATGGTGGCTCAAGGTACTAAACTTTTTTTAAACCTAATTTTTGCCTCCTCTTGTTCAAAGCAAAAACTACTGATTTGGTTAATTTTTGTGTTTTTTATATTTATTTTGTAAAACATATGCTTACTTCATGTACCACAATCCCTTGTTCGATGATGGGAATGATCGTTATAACATGATCCATAAGTTTTGGGATTATAGCATGATTAATAAGAGTAATTTATGTACCATGATGACATTAAACAAGGACACTGGATACATGATCAATTAGTGGACGAGGGTACCGGCAGATTTTATATTTCACAAGTTTACAAATAAGGTGAAAACCCAAGATCGATACTAACGGGATGTTTGATTTTTATCTTTTTTGAGAGATGTCTACCCTCATTTTAGAAAGGTAAATTTGTATTTTTTAAATTACTAATAGTTATTAATTTTTATTTTTGACTGCTTAATTTTATTTGATAACGTACAGAACAATGGAATTGACGAATCAACAATAGAAAGGTACTTGAACAAATTGTTTCCTGATGCCATCCCAAAATTATATTTTGAGTTCGTCAAAAAGATAGCTTGTCGATACTCAACCATATCTAAGTAAGCAAATAATGTTCACATTATTTACTTGTTAGTCCAAATAGGTTCACCGACTTATTGTTTACGTTGTTTCTTTCTTTATAAAGGTATGAAATTGTCCCATTTCCGAACCGGGTTTCCTTCCTTCCCATAGGAAGAGTTTATGAAATTTTGCTTCACAGAACACAGAGTGTGGGAGTGAGAAAGAAAGAAGTTACTACTAGTAAGAAACAAAGAAAGAAACAGCACAAACAATAAGTCGGTGAACCAATTTAGACTAACAACTAACAAGTAAATAATATAAACAATATTTGTTTACCCATACATGATTGAGTATCTACAAGCTATCTTTTTGACAAATTCAAAATATAATTTCGAAATGAAATCAGGAAACAATTTATTCAAGAACTTTTCTATTGTTGATTCGTCAATTCTACTGTTTTGTACGTTATCAAATAAAATAAAAGTCAAAAATAAAAATTAATAACCATAAACAATTTAAAAAGTACAAATTTACCTTTCCAAAATGAGAATAGGCATCTCTCAAAAAAGACAAAACTCTAATAGCCTGTTGGGTATCGATATTTAGTTTCTCCTTATTCGTAAACTTGTAAAATATAAAATATGTCGATACCCTCATCCACCAAATGATCATGTATGAGGTGTCATCGTATAATATCATCATAGTACAAAAACTATCCCTATTAACCATGCTATAATCCCATGACTTATGGATCATGTTATAACGATAATTCCCATTATCGAACAAGCGATTGTGGTACATGAAATAAGCATACGTTCTACAAAATAAATATAAAAAAATACAAAAATCAACAGAATCAGTATTTTTTTGCTTCGAGCAAAAGAGGGCAAAAATTATGTTTAAAAAAAATTTAATAACTTATGCCACTATTTATACTTAGATCAGATAATTCATTTTCAAGCTGAAGAAAGAGAGATAAACCAACAGGTTCATTCTCATTATCATCTTTAATGGGATACATTTCTACAACTTGCAATATCAAAAACTTGCGATCATCAAAATCTTTCTTCATCCCTTATTCGAAATCAATTATAGCATGCATGATACATATATATATTTATGCAGCAAATCTAGAAAATAAGGTAAATATATAGGAGATTAATTCAAAACATATTTTATAAATTTAATATACCTATACCTTGCTTATACTTAAAGTTCACAAGTTTAATGTCACTGATGTTTGACATTGTAACACCGTTTATTAAGTTGTCATGGTATAGTCCTTGGTAATGAAGAGCTCAAATACCATTTATGATCTTTGAAATTAAATAAATACGTACATAACCATATAAAAAATCAAACAAAAAAGTCATTTTTTAAAAATAAAATAAAATAAAAAAGAAATTAATGAAAGAAACAACTAGTCTTACTTAAATATATAACAAACTATAAAATTTAATAAACATTGCATTATTTGAATGAGGTAAAGAATTCTTTTGTCATGTAAATGACTATTGTGCCGTTAGAATTATACTCACAAATATTCGATTGCATGTTCAACCAATCATTGAAGTTTAGCTTAAATCTTTTAAATATTATAACAGTATAGTCGTTTCGGTAGTCTACATCAAAGTCCAAAACATTGACTATATTGGGATTACGCACTAATTAGAGAATTCTATGAACTGCCTTAGTTTCTGCTTGCATTTTATAAAATTGTATAGTCACTAAAAATTGATCTTCGTTTGTCAAGTTAGACCAAGTTGTCAAAGCATGAAATGTCCAGTAGTCAAGTCTCCCCGCGAGATTATATCTAATGGTTAAACTCTTTGCAACATCTTTTTAAAATAAATAAAATAAAATAAAATCATAATCATAATAAATACAAAATATAATAAAGGAACATACCAGAATATAATTGGAAGAAACAATGAAATTATACATTACCTAATAAAAAAACTTTCTCATAATTTGAAGTCATTCGCTCACAATCTCGTTAAATTTCTTTCTCTGCTGTGTACTAGTGGGATTTCAACAAGAACAACACCAGAGGCTTCAACACTTCATACTTCTTTTTTCTACAAGAGTCTTCGAGAAATTCACTGTAACATCCCAAAATTTACAATTAATTTTATATTATCAACCCATTATTAATATCCATTTTCATGGTATAAGTGCGGAAACTGTAAAGACATAAAATGCAACAATCTCATAAATAGGAATAATTCTCTTTTTCTCATTGGATATCTTATTTGAAAGTTAGAAAATACATTCATTGTTTTTACACAAACCATGAAACGTAAATCAACTAAGAGAATTAAAGTAAACAAATAAAATATCCTACGGGCTTGCATCTTTCAAGGTTAAGAACCCTGGTACAAAAAGGGATGGACGACCTCTATCCCATACATAGAAGTTCAAAAGTTGAAAACAAACAATACAAAAATGAGATTGGTGTTCCAAAAAGATCTCCAAGATCATTCAACGAGGGGTAAGCATATCATTGTAATTTGAAATGTTTTTCTACATAGGGATGAGCATTGAGGGCCAGTAGAGATAAATTTAACAAGGTATATATGCCTTAATATAATTATAATCATGCCATGCAAATGATATGCCATGCCAAAATATAGTTTTCTTTCCAAGAATCATGCCATGCATTTTTCAAAATTCATAAGCCAATCAAAACTTCCGTTATTCACCTATTTTCATGTTGTGTTGTAAGTCACCTACTTGGACAATGGTAAAATTGTTGGCCAAACCTATAATTTTTAATTACATCTGAATCCATGTGTGTAATATTTATGAAGAAATTCTTTACAACAATCCGTAAAATATGGAATTTGCATTAACCATACGAGAATGCAAAATACGACAATTGCATAACACGTTTGTGAATTTTGTACGCCATCTTAAAAAATGTAAACAGTTTCATATCGTGTGCATATATCCTTACAAAACAAGAAATTACAACCAAAATTCCCCAAAAAAAGTGTATTTCTTTTGGCTGTAGATTAGTGTCAGATGAAACAAAGGCAACAGATAAAAGTTGGTTAAAAGTGTATTTCTTTTGACTATCCTCACAAATCTCAGATCCAAGACATTACTTAAAAAATCATAAATCACTATTAATTTTAAGAATTTACTTTGCCTAGTCATTCTGTTCGCTCAATCACAGTTGCTCAGACGATCAAGAAGGACGCATAGATGGCTGGCTAATGTCACATACAATACCGTTTACTTTTTGTCTGGTGAACAGATTTGGGCAGTGGAAGTGCAATGAACAGGTGATCCTCTACTGACATAAACAAATCTTTCAAAATTCTTTGGAAATCTTGAAATCTGTTCACAAAAATCTGTTTACAAAACTTTCGGAAATGAAAATTACAAAATCTGTTTACAAAACTTTCGGAAATGAAAATTACAAAACCTGTTCACAAAAATCTGTTTACAAAATCTTTCGGAAATGAAAATTACAAAACCTGTTCACAAAAATCTGTTTACAAAATCTTTCGGAAATGAAAATTATAAAACCTGTTTACAAAAATATGTTTACAAAATCTCGAATACTGGCATGCACTAGATTTCTCAATTCAGACAATCCAAAACAGATATATATATATATATAGATATACATATACCTTCACATAGAGAACATAACTCAATTTGCATAGAGCAAACACTAACATTGCTGTAATTCTTATATTAGTAGAGAAAAGGAAGCACTCAAATATTTACACATATAAGCATATGTTTCAACGGTTGATATAGTGCGACAACCCAGTGCAGTCAAGTCCCAAAAACATCACCGAAAACACAGTTCATACATAAATCAAAAACAGAGCACAGGACTCATGGTTATCAGATCCACACACCCCATCACCAAACAACCCGGTTATTGGTAAAGTGCTCTCGGTAGTTCAAAGGAAGCCCTAAAACCGCCATCTTTTTAATTACCCAAACAAAAAAGTCTGATTTTAGAAGACAAATTGAAATAGGAAAGTGGTCACAGATACACAGAGAGAGAGAGAGAGTTCATACATATATGAAAATCAGAGCATACGAATGCTTACATGCAGAAATAGAAACAAGAGAGGCTGAAGAGAGAGAGAGAGAGAGAGAAGAAGAGCTTACCTGCGGTTGGGGCGATCGTCGGAGTAGGGACTGCTTTTCCGTTGGGCTTGGCGGACTCTCGTCGTCGCTTGCTTCGTCTTCCTCTTCAGATCAAAGCTTCTACTATTTTCTTGCCTTGAACGAAGAGGCCTCTTCATCTTGCGTGTCTGATGTCTGATGTCTGATGTAGCTGAACACCTCTCGCTAGTAGACCCTCTGTGATGGGTCTGATAATATTCCTGAAGATATTCCCATCAATGTCTGACATAAAGCAGGGTTAAAGACGAAACAAGGACACATCAATGAGGGGGCAAAAGGGTCTTTTTATACTGCAGCTGGCACACATCACGTGAAGCTAGTATATATATAGGTTTATAAGGTGAAAGTTGTGAGTCAAGAGCCTCTCCTTGCAAGTTTGTGCTTGCGTCCGTCTTTACAGGTTTTCGGGTCTATTTTTAGGTCTAATTTTGATAATCTGAACCGTTTATATTTTATGATTTATTCAGTATATCGTACCTGTAAAAAATCAAGTTGATCGGATATCAGAAAGTATGTGTTTGAAAAATTGAACTAAACACTATTTTTTAAAGAATTTAATAAACAGTTTTCCGAACATATGCTTTCTGATATCCGATCAACTTGATTTTTTACAGGTATGATATACTGAATAAATCATAAAATATGAACGGTTCGGATTATCAAAATTGGGCCTAAAAGTAGACCCGAAGGCCTGCAAGGACGGGCGCAAGCACGGAGGGTGCAAGGAGAGGATCCTCACTCGAAAGTTGTAGGCATATAAGGTGAAAGTTGTGGGCTTTTTGACTGTTTTTAATCAGTGTGTTCGGTTAAAATTTTTGAGATTAAATTTTTTGAAAATTAAGATTTGATTTTGTATAATAAAAAAAATAAAAAAGTCACTATTTTATTTAAGGGATTGTTTGGGATGACCTAAATAAGTGTATTTTTTATTTTTTTACGAAAAAATGTTCAGAAAAGTAGAGAGGTGATGTGATGAAAAAAGATAAAAAGATAGATTATTTTTGGGTTACCAAACTTGGCCTAAGTCGCATCATCTTATTTAAGTCACATCATCTCTCTACCACATCACTTCAAATCCAACCCATACTTAACCCATATTTCATAAAAAGTCAAAAAGTGCACTTATTTAGTTTATCCCAAACAACCTATAAGTTTTTTGATTTTTGTATTTTTTTATTTTTAGTGAATATTTTTAAAATTTTAAATATATTTTTTTAATTTTTTTAGATGTACCTTACTTATATATATCTAAAAAGTGAAAAATTTGTGAAAAAATATTTTAAAAAATTAATAAATACATAAAAATATTAAAAAATGTATTGAATTCTCATTTTTTTTTTGTATTTTTAGTATTTAATGAGTTTTTAAAATATTTTTTTCACAAATATTTTATTTTTTAAGTATATTTCTGTTAGGTATGTCTAAAAAGTAAAAAAAAAAAAAATTACTTAAAACATTAAAAAAATTCAGTAAAAACAAAAAAAATACAGAAGAATTTTCTGATAAGTATTTTTTGAAAAACCTAACCAAGTAAGCTGAATAACTTTTTAACTTTCTGACTAAAATAGTTTTTGCCAAACGAAACCTAAATTACTTGACTAAATTTATTGAATAAATAAATAAAAAACACCTATTAAATAACCTCTATTTAAAATATTATACGGGTACAATCTTATCAAAACTTATTGACTATTAAAACCCTTCAAAATATTTAAAAATCTGTATTGATTTTGATTTTTGAATTTAAAAAAAAAAATTAAGGTAACAATTAAATTTGTTTTCTATGGAATTTTAAAAAAAAGTAATTATAAGTTTTATAAAATTAAAATATTTGTATATTAAGCTCTTACTTTTTTCTATAATTTTATAGAACTTTTAGATTTATATATAAAATTTTATTTATGATAGATAATACAAAAAATTGAACAGAATTATTATATTTGTTTACAAATAATATTTTATTTTCTCCCATGCATAGCACGAATCATGTCACGTCCCAATTTTCAAAGATTAATTAGGCAAAAAACTAATTAACCTAAGCATGAGATTTTTAAGTGAAAACTCCATTTATTACTTAATTCATCCTCAAAATCACTTTTCTCAGCATATTCTCATTTGATTTTGAAAATTTGGTTTACCTCGTAAAATGTGCCGGTTATCATTTTCTTAAAGTTAAGCATGATTTAAGTGACAAAAGAAGTGTTTTGGTATATAACCGACTTGCCTTGAGAAACGAGTAATTCATTATTTTTAAAAAATAATTAAATGTATTTTTTTTAAAAGCATGTGAAACACTTAATTAAATAAATTAATCTCACTGGCACATAATTCTAGAAAATGAAATACAACATAATATAATAGATGATATGTTATGTTACAGACCCGACATTAATTAATACAAATATTTCGACAAAAAGGTATAAAGGCGCACAAGCCCGATTAACCTAGGGTCTAAACTTAGCAAAAATAAATTACGTCCCAGTGCTCATATCGGCGGGGAGTCTACCAATACCTACACAATGTAGAGGAGTGAGCAAAGACACTCACCCAACAGTAATCTCATATCTACATTATTAAGCATGCAAGTATAGTGATAGAATATATAATACAATACATGTCTTATTCTCAAATTCTATTACTCCGTCTCATTAAATTCATTTTACTTAATTAACTCACTTTATAATTAAATTAAAGAAATAATCTAAAAACAACAACCGCCAACAGGGCTTCAATAACCTGCCAACTGAGCAATAAACCAAATCTCATAAACACATACCATGTCTGAACTGTAAATAAATACATACTAGGTCATACCCTGATCATGCCATATGCTCCCTTCGAGCTGCGTGTTAGAAAATCCATACCACCCTCTCCACATGCTATTATTCCTCTCAACTACGCAGTGTCCATTCTAATCCACAGATAGTTGGATCCACTATCTCCTCAATATTGGCTACAAGCCTATAACCTGGCCCAAGCCCGTAAAATCAATAAGATGAAGAGAGGGACCTGGTATGTAAAATCAATAAGCCTATAACCCCGGCCAAGTAACTAAGTATAGTAAATCCCAACACTGTTTATTTAATACTTAAGTAAAGTTCCACTTTTCCACACTAGGAATATTTTTCAACACTTAGCCACTTTCTCAACAATTCCTCATTCTAGCTAATTTTATCCAATTGCCCCCATGGCTATAATATTAAATATACTCCTAGTGTGGCATTTCCATTTGTTCTATTAAGGCCCAAATCATTAAATAATTCAATTAAGTTACTAAACTAACTTAATCATAAAATAATCATTAAAATACATATTTAATGAAACTAGTAAGTAAACTAACTTGAAATTTATAGTAAAAATATCAATCACCATCAAATCAAGCCATCTTTTAAACTAGTCAAATTATTCCATGATTAATCTAACTAAACTACTTTCTCCAATTTTTCAACAATTTAAATAATTCAAAAAAAAATCAAAGTTGTTCAAATCACTTGTTCTTTATACCAATTGCCTTCTAATATGCCATAAAGTACAGTTTTTAACATTTGAATTCATGAAATCATGCAACACTATCACTTTTAAGGGTTTCATAATGATACCTCAACTCTAGTTTAAAAATGAGTTATTAAGCATAAAACAAAGCATGAATACGAATTTAGCTTAATACATTCAAAACATGGATCAATGGAGCATTAGTTTCAGCGATTAAAATATATACAAAACTAACTCAAAACTTTTCATGCTTGAAATCATGCTTTTAGTTTTAAAATCAACCCAAAAAAAAAAAAAAAAAAATAAAAACCCTAACATTGTGCTAATGGAGATGTGAACCTTCAATGAAGCTTTGATTCACAATAAGAAGGGAAAAGATAGAGTTGATGGTTGTAATGATGCAAGTAAACCACAAGCTTCAAGAACACACCAAACCTTCAAAGTGTTCTTCAATATTCTTTTTGAAACTCAATCAAAACCCTCTATTTAAACTCATAAGTGACAAACTAAAGGCATAACTTCAATAATTTACCGCTAATATGTAACAATAGAAACCAAGACTTAGGTTTCAAGCAAGGCTTCAACAAGCAGTTGTGGTCGCCATAACAGTTGCGGTTGCGAAGTGTAAAGATCGTAGTATAATGGTTGCAGTAATCGGAACTGTGAATTTTTTTTATTTTTCACACAAAATGAAAAAAAGTTACCCGATACACATTTTTTTTCTTCAGAATCACATTTACTGGGGTTTAAAATAGATTTTTATCAATTTTTGTCAGTTTTCAAGTATGATCAAATATATTTCATATTTTTAAATCACTATAAAATAATAAGTTTTTTACATTTTATTTCAATAGTTAATGACTTTATATGTCATAAATCTATATTGTACCTCTTATTTTTATTTATTTTTTAAGAATAATTGATTTTAAATAT